CACTTTAATGGACAATTTTCATGTAAAACAAAGACAAAGAACACAAAACTTTGATTTTAAAAAATAATTTTTTAGGAAACAATTTTTTTTTTCTTTTTTTTAATTTTTTGGCAATGGAAACAAATTTTATAACCAATTGTGGAATCACTTTAATGGACAATTTTCATATAAAACAAAGTCAAACGAATACAAAATTTTAAAATTTTTCGGGTAGAAAATTATACCAATCAAACACATTTAATTAACAATTCCCTATAAAACAATTTTTAGGTAATTATTTTCCCTGAAAATCATTTTCTTTCCACCTATTTTCCGCATGTGCAATCTAACAGACCCTAAAAGTGTGTTTGGTAGGACTAAAATCGGATTAAAATTGAAAAACTAGTCGTTATTGGTGACTTTTATTAGACGAGTGAAACTCCATAACGACTATATTTTCAATTTTAATTCCTCATAAACAAGCTATAAATTTTAATAAAAGTTGATAAAATGTAGTTGAAAAGTTAAAAAATGTAGATCCCATAAAATATTTTGTTGAAAAATGAGTTTGAAAAAAAAAATTAGAAAACTGAGTTAATATTTAGCCCATGTTTGTCTCTCATTCTTTCATAACTTTTTTCTACACACTTTTTTTTAACCGCACATTCGCACACTAAAATATTCTATACGTAAATTCAAAAAACAAATTTCTATATCTTAACTATAAATTCTCCAAAAATTTACTACCAAACGGGGGTTAGATGACCAAAATCTCTAATAATTACTAATTTTAACAATATAAATATTAAGAAAATAACCCATCTCTCTCCACTTCGTGGGACCAATGGTTCAATACTAAGAAACTATATTAAATTAAGCCTGAATAAAGAAACTGATATTAAATTAAGCCCGAATAAAGCTAAGGACGAGGAAATGGGAAAAATAAAATTCGGCATGGACGGTTGAAATCGTGTCCCAAATTGGACCGTATTACAAAAAAAAAACTAAAATACTATCTATTCTTCTCTTTACTAAATATTTTTATCCATCTTTGAGGTGAGTACTCGATCGTAAACTTCAGGGCTCTGTGGAATTAGTCGAGGTGTGCGCAAACTGACCCAGACATCCACGGTTATCAAAATATATTTTTTTTTTTTATCCATCCGTGAGGGATTTTATGGAAGCATATTCTTAGAAGACGGTGCGGGGTGAACGATTTTTAAACAAATAAAGAAGATCATTAAGATTTCGTACTTCATTGTCAAACTTATTCCAATTTCAATCATTTGGTCCGCCCTCTTATTGAATTGCTTGTTCAATAAACATTCCAAGTATCATGCCATGAATCGATCCACGCACTATTCTTTTCTTTTTATTATAATAATATTAATAGAGAGATTTGAAATGAATTGTGATGGAATCCCACTAAATGAGTGCGGCATTTATCATAAACCAATGGTACCTTGTCAAGTTAGCTTTGTTGTCTGGCTAAATCATGCCCACAAAGATCAGTGCTTAATTATTAGTGATTTTCCAGTTTTTTTAATTGTTTGGTACGCGTTCTTTCAAAATACATTATTTCAAAATTCATTTTCAACTACACGTTTTTCAATAAAACAATATTTTCCATCATATCGATAACTTTTCCTTACTGTTTAACCACGTATTTCTTGTCATATCACTATTTATTTTTTCTTCAATAATATCCAGCAAACACACGTACTGGCAAATGAGAACAAAATGGATGGTTTAAGAAATTAATTATCTCGACCGCCATTTGATTAATACTATATATAGAGAGAGAGAGATAAGGGCCCGTTTGATTCTCATTATTGTGGAATGAGAATGAAAAATATAGTCGTTATTGAGCCCCACACAAGAAATGAAAATTCAAAATTGATGGCTTGATGTGATGGATAACGATCATATTTTTTATTTTTATAGATGAAAAATGAGAAACAAACGGGGCCTAAGAGTTAAATTCTACGAAAATTGAAAGATATAAAATGAAATGCCTACTCAATATAGAATGCAATAATCCTTATTTTTAGAGTAGGTACTTGGTCAAGTAGATTCCCGAATTGAAAGTAGAAGCTAGTTTCGCTAAACTTGAGATGCAATTTTGTCCCTTATTTTACTAATATATATACAAGTAAATTTCAATTGTTGACGAGGACAGATTACTAGAATCAAGTAAAATTCAAAACTTGGAAGCATTTCATTACGTACTCTTTGTTATCTATACAATAACAACAAACTAATATTTGTTTTGGTTGAGTGCGTAAATCTTTCTTCACCACCTACCCTACTGAACAAATTTAAGTCTACAACATCGTCCACAACTGTCACGGACCAAGTTAATTTTAATTTTTAACTTGATCTACCCAACTCGTGACTCTTACGAACAAGGCCACTAAACATTTATGAACGTACATTCTCATTTCTTATCATTATTCACGTGCCTTGGAGAATTGGTCCGTAGCAACAAAAAAATTAAAAATTTACCTAATCCAAATCAAAAGTTTGTACTTTAGTAGGGATGACCAAAAAAACTCGATACTTGCATAGCTGGCTCTAAACAGGGTAGAATTAAGCCGCTTAATCGGATATTTGGTATGGAAAATTTTGAGCCGGGACGGTGACAGGTAACGGGCGCCCTGCCCTGTTTATTATTTTTTTTT